TTCTCCAGTGGCGCATATTAACTGTCTGGTGTTCCTGATCACAGTAACAGTGTGGCGCCTGTTGATTGATATTAGAGCCCTGAAGTGATGCACTCAAGGTCAACAGGACTAAACATTTCCCAAAACTCATGGAAACGTGTTCTTGTTTTCCTAGAAGGCGACCTCTTCACCCTGCAACTATAACTGACATCAATCTGAGACCAGTTCAGGATTTTATAGTGTGTTATTTTTAATGAAGACCGTGTTCAGTTTATACAGTCATGGAGGGGAACGGTACTTTCATTTGTTTTATTGAAAATGATCTGATGTTTAATGAGTTCTGTAATTGTTCAAAGGTGTGTAAAAGTACACGACAGATTCCACGATGTCATGATGTATTCAGCAGATATTAAGCCGAGGAGGGAAAAACCCGTGGAAGAACGCAGCATAGCTGCGCAAAAGACGCATACCAACTGTCAAGCACGGTGGTGGAAGGGCGATCATGTGGGCTCGTTTTGCAGCCGCTTGATCACGCATGCATGTATGTTAAATCTGATGCCGTCTGTTGGACTCTTAGAGCTTGAAAACACAACTTCTTACAAACAGCTTTATCCTTTTAGCTTTGTTTTTGTTTATTAAATTTGATGTATTTTTACACTTGTGGTTTGGATATTTATAAAACCTTCTGAAGACAAGATGATTTAAATTATGGAAGGACGTTATTAGTTGAGGTCAACTCAAGTTCTGCTCACAACACCCTCCATGTGCTAGCTGTGGACATTTAGGGGTCCAACTTATTGCCAAACTGGCAATAAGTTGGACCCCTAAATGTCAAAAAACATTTTAACATTTTTTTCCGAGCCCCAAAAAATCCGACCCCAGCCTATAGCCATAATTTCCGAACCCCACCCGACCCGACGTATTAACAGTAATTACAGGTCCGAATCTGAACACACCCCGAAATTTTTAATAAAGCTTTGACTGCTTATATAGTTATTAACAGTCGATAGTTGAACATAGGGTGTGTTTAAAACAAAATAAAGGTTAAGTGTTTCTTGAAGGATAAAAAATTTAGCCACAATCTTTTTGTGCTCAACCTAAATGTTGTGAGCCGCTCTCTGCAACTACCACACCAGAATTTAGCTCAGTTTCTATAAAACGGACAAAGCTGCAGCCATTTTTTTGTTTGTTTCTGAGGCCAGGCTCCAACGGTTACCAGTAAAGTAAAAAAAAAAAAACAAGCCGTCGTCTGACAGGAAGTGGACATTCTGCTGCCGTTTTCTCCCCGCAGCTGGAGGCAGGAGGTGGACGGAGCTGACGACG